TGGCTGGTGTTTAATACTGCTACTCCATCAGGGTTGGAGGGAGACCTATTGTGAATGGCAACAGTTTGCACCATGACTTCTCCAACTGTGCTGCAGAACAGTGCAGGTGTCTCAGAAGGGCGGTGGGACACGAAGGCTCAGACCCGTTACCAGTCAAAACGTCTCAGCAGCAGGGAGCTCCTATTTGGAGAGAGCAAGCTAAGTTTGTGCACAAAGCTCTCACTCTCTGTGTTTAAGGCTGAGTCAGTGACCCTTCTGGACTCTTCCCAAGTTTCAGAAGATCACCAGACAGAAATACGTGCCAGTTATAAATATATCATGTCAGTTGTAGGGGGTGGAGGTGGGCACAGGGAGGAGAGAAAGGAAAAAGACATCTTACGTTTCCAGCACTGGAAAGAACAGTTTTGACCTCACGCAATAAGTCACTGGACCTTTTCAATAGTCTTATCTGGCTTATGCCCCACCATCTTTAACACATCATCAAAGGGAATGTTGGCTGGCAAAGGGTTAAACAATCCCACACAGCGGAGAGCAAATCTGCAGTCTGTTGGGAAGGTCCCCACCACATCACTGACGATCTCAGGGTCCAACTTGAAGGAAGGAAGCAGCTTCTCAGTCTCACACGTCGCTCAGGGCCTGGAGTCAGCCAAAGAAAAACAGTGTCGGACGGACATGCTGCAGCTCTACCAGAACTCAACAGAAATAGGGCTCTGAAACATAACCACGGTATTTGCATTCATCCCTAGGACACAATGAGGAGGTTTTTTCTGGAATCTGCAGTTGCAACCCAGTTAGGAGATGATGGAATGATGCGGACTTACAGACTATCCTTCAAGAAGACAGACTGAGCTGCACTACAGTATCCTTTCTTTACCCTCTGGTTTGTGCTAGAAACCACAATGACATTTTATCTAAGACTTTTTAAGCTTTCCAATGGGAAACACCAGTTCTGCAGGCTCTTGGACTTAGTTTTTGTAGGTGAAGGAAGAGTGATCTGCCATCAAGGCAAGGGACATCAACCCAAAGAACAGTTCCAAACTGAACTCCAGTCTTCCCAGACTGACTCATACTCTGCTATGTCATATAAAACGCTGTCCTGCTCTGACTTGCCCACAGAAGCCTTTACGGCTGCAGGAAATCCTCAGTCCCGTATACTCCCACTCCTGCCGAAGAAGAGTCGTACCTCATCCTTGATGGAGGAACAGCAGCACAGTCTTGCTTACCTTTCGTGCAAACTCTGGCAGAATGAAAGCTGCCCGATGAATGTCAGAGTTGTAGTATTTCAGACTCCTCTCCTCTACTTGTTGCTGTGAGAGCTGCTGCACAGGCTCCCGGAAATTTGTGTTCTGCAATAGAGAAGCCAGGTAGCTCTGTAACGTTTGGGTAATGAGCGAAAGGCTGTGTGACAGGCATCCTGATTCATGGCAGAGAACCAAGACGACTCGCAGGAAAACAGATGACTTTCTGTTCTAGTATGAGGTCAAAAGTTCTGCACAGCTCCAGCCCCAAGGGCCAGAGTTTACACTCTGTACCTTGTGTGACTAGCCTTATTCACAGATGTCAGCCTATGAGGTCAGACTGCACGTGAGCCATGTGACAGATGAAGCTGTCAGATTGCGCCTGAGCATCCAAGCAGCGAGGCTTTTGCTCTTCAGAGCAGAATTCACGTCTGCATTAAGTCAGGCACTGTGCATGCTGCCAGTGCCCCCATACGTAAAATACAGCAGAAGTGCCGGTGGCTCTCTAAACCAACGTGACAGTTGCGTGACAGCTTGCTGTAATGCAGCAGATTAGGAAGAGAGCAGACCTCCGTGGTCTGACACCGAGTTACCAGCCTTCATCCTAACACTGACTCTAACTTGGAGGCCTCTGTACGAGCAGATTACCAGTCGCAAGGTTATTCTTATCAAACAGGTACCCACTTTATAACAGCCAGCATTGATAAACCAAAGGCTCTGGAAATTGGGAGTTACTTCCGCCCTTCCAAGTTTGATGTACTAGAGAGAAAACCACATCCTTTTCTAAGGCAACTGGTTAGATTAATGGTCAATTCTGAACTTCATTCAGCACTGAGCAAGCTGCAATGCAGCTCTGGGGCCCTGGGCTGGCAGGGCCAGGGCCCGGCATGAGTGTAGAGGTCCCACAGCTGGGAGAGCTCAGTGCCACAGCTCCAGCTGTGTATGGAACAGCCTGAGCAGCCTCTGCAGGCGCTTTCAGGGAGTGGAAAAGGGCACTTCGGATGCCTGAGACTCACCGGGTTCTTGCTGCAGAGCATGAAGCCAATCTGCCCGCTGGGATATGTGGGGATGGTGCAATAGGCGTATTCCACAACAGGGAACAGAGACTTGCAGAACTGACGCATCTCCTTAATGAGATCCAGGTGCAGCCACTGGCACTCACCTACAGGGAGAAAGGAAGACAGGATACAAGGTGAGAGCTGCCCCTCTTCTCTGCACAGGCCTGTGCTGGGTTAACAGTGGTTCCAAGTCCAAACCTGCTCTGCTCCGCACAGCTCGTGTGGTTTCAAAGGCAAGATAAGACCCTTATGCCAGTTTTACTAAGCGCAGTCCAGCAGTTAATGAGTTGACGTAAACAGATAAAAAACCTGTACCTGGGAGCTGAAATGGATTTCACTCCCTGTGTGGTGGTTGCCCCAAGAAGAGAGTCGCCTTTGTGCCGCACACTTTGCATGCAACGATCTGGCATCAGCCTCTGCTCAGAGACAGCATCCTTACCTTGGCAGCAGAGAATCCCATCTTCTCGCAGGGCTGTCTTCATCAGCTGGTAGTAGGATTCTTTGAACAAGCTTTCTGCAGGACCTGGGAGAACAGTGAGTAAAGAAATATGTCTAGAGGGAGACTAAGATGGCAGGCTTCTGAGAGTTTGCTGAATGACCAGGCTGCACATGGACTGCACTGGAAAAGAGACATTTCAAATGGCCTTTCAGTGATCACAAGTGTTGGCAATAATCTGGAAGCAAAAAGTTTTGACCCTGGGTGAACCCCAGCCTGCACCTAGCACAGCAGAACCATTGGGATTGTAGCTTTGCTCAATAGCAAACCTAGGACCTTTATCAAAGAAAGTCCTAGGAGCTGCCTCTTGCTTCAGTGAGTATTTTTTAAACTTAACTCCTGCTCCAAACTGCCTTTTCGAGATGCCTCTCTCTGTGATGACTACAGCAAGAGCGAAGGTGACTCAAGCGCTCATCGTTAAGTCCCAAAAATGAGGTGCCATAACTGCATTTGGTCCCTCTCTACCTCAGTTTTTCCCTTCAGAAATACAGGAAGCTCACTATAGCCATCTTTAGGCTAGGTAGCTACACCAACAGCACATGAGCTGCTGCTTCGTTAGCAGGCGCACATGCAAAGCTGTCTTTGCCAGCGTGATGCTGCATCCCCCATGGGATTATTGGACTCAAGGATCAACTCTTTGCCAGAAGCAATAGCTGCTGGAGTTGAATTTTGAGGACAGAAACGCGACAGCTAGCTTGAAGCCTTGCTAGTACAATTTTCTGGTATTCATCCTTCCCTTTCTCTACCAAAAGAACCAAGTCAGTGACAGTCTTTTTACACCTGAAAGGAGCCCGGGCAGGCTGGCATTACTTCCAGGAGGTAGGCAGAAGGTAACAGGAGGAGTGAGGAAAGCAGTACCCTTTTATGGCCAAAATTCTTACCCATGGGGTCAGATGAGTCCGTGATAATCACATCAAAGGCTTCTTGATTTTGTTTCATGAACTCAAAACCATCTCCCACATGCAAGGTCAGCTTAGCGCTGGAATACCCCACTGCCATCCCTGGGAGGTATTTCTTAGATACCTGGATCACATCCTGCAACACAGAGAGCACAAGTGGGTCAGTGGGCACTACAAGGAGCTACTTCTCAGGCTACTGTACAGCTGCAGCTGAAAGAACAGCACAATGAGTCATTTCCTTCCATGCCTTCAGCACAAATCCCACTCGCTAGCTAGATCCTCAAGAGCTGTCAGCATCTTCAGCCAACGAGCTACACGCAGCCCTCTCCTATGGCCTCAGGGTTCAGTGACACTGTTGGTCTGTCCTTGCCAAACTCAACAAGAACTTGGAGCTTCAAAAGCTCCCTGAGGAACTACGAGAATATGATTACAGATCTGACTGCTTTGTGCTCTTTTCCCTGCGGACATCGCTTGCAGAGGTGATGTCAACTAAAGACTTCTTTTTTTTCCTTCCTAAATAAAACCATGCCAACAGGTTTCTAGATGCAAAATGAGAAATATCCCCACCTTTGCTTTACAGTTGGTCTATCAATTCCTCCGTAAGAGACAGTTTTCTCTCTAAAACGGTTAAACAGCCGCTACCCTAGGCCCAGTAACTGTACTGAACGCTACCAGCTTCTCACAGCTGGTAGAGACGAAAAAATATGCTGGTGTCAGGCAGTGCTTGTTCAAAACCAGGCACATATGGCTACTTAGCTTGGCAGACAGAGTACAGTCTCATACAGCAGCGCTTCCTATCCCTAACGCAGCCTCGCTTTGAGGAGACAGCAAGACTTTCTAAGAAAGTAAAACATCAGAACAAACTGACCGAGAGGAGGAGGACCAGCCCATCTATTACAGAAACACGTACACACCCACCCCCCCGCTTATTTCCTGCTTTCAGTCACAGGGGACTGCTTAACCAAGTGACCACCCTCCCCTGGCAGGAGCGGCAGTCTGTTCTGCAGCGGGGAAGAGGGAAAAGCAGCACCTTCAGCAAGCCAGAGCTCTCCTTCTCCAGACCCCACGCTGGCCTGGAAGGGCCTCTACCGTACGTGTGTGAAAGAAATCACAGGAAAGAGGCAGCCAGCTGCCACGTAGATGACTCGTAAGGCAAAGAGGTGGCGCTGTCAGTGTCACGCCAGCAGAACCGGCAGCAAACGCGCTCGCTGCTGACAAGGGACAGCAGGTGAAGCAGCAGCTCCCGTGGATGCTGTGAAGCAGGGCTGGTTTTCGCTGGGCAGCCCGCCCGTCTGACCGAAGCCCCGGAGCACTTCCACGCAGCCGGGAGCCCCAACGCACCTCATCGATTTCGCACTGCACCACGGACTCCACGGTCGGGTGTTTCACCACCTCTCGCAGCACTCCCCCGTCGCCACCACCGATGATCAGCACCTGGGAGAGGAGAGGGCAGAAAACCGGCCATCAGCGGGCTCGGCTCACGGGGCAACTTCCACGGCGCGGCCTAAAGAGGACGGCTTGAAACCCCGCAGCCGTCCGGGCCCGTCCTGTCCCGGGGGCTCGGAGATGCGCTCCGG